AGCTTTTTCCCAGCAGCCCCTGCTTTAGGGGTATCCTTTTTTTTTTTTTTTCTAGAGAGCCAGTCCTGGCTACAGTGCTGACCCCTGTGGAGCCTGCGCCAGGTGATCTCTGAGACTGAGGATCTCATCTGGGTGCTCACAGGCTTTAAGAATCTTCTGTTTTCAGGTGGGGACTGTAACAAATTGCTGGCCTGTTTGTAGGGGCTGTCCAGCCCGTTGCAGTCAGAGGGAAAGGTGTAAAACCCAAGAAAGCACAAATCTGGTATTCTCAGATGGTGATTCTGTGCTAGCGTGTAGCTTGATGGGGTTTTAATATAGCCCCAGACAGACCAACAGGCGCTGGAGGAAGGCTGGAGCCTTCGCAAGCAGTTCTGTTGGTGGCTAACACACAAACAAGATTTAAACACGGAAAATGACCTGGCTTAAACCCTGGATGTTGTATGGGAGTCGTGTATCAGCTCCGGCCTGTGCCACTGCTCTGCCACCCTCACAGGAAAGAAGTTCCTCCTCCATGTTTAGAATGAACTTCCGATGCTGAAGTTTGTGCCCGTTCCCTCTTGTCCTGTCACTGGGCACCGCTGGAAACAGACTGTTCCCACCCCCCAGCACCCTCCCTTTAAGGATTGATAAGTGTTGATAAGATCCCCCTCAGTCTTCTCTTCTCCAGACTGAACAGCCCCACGTCCCTCAGCCTTTCCTCAGCAGAGAGATGCTCCAGTCCCCTCAGCATCTCTGTAGCCCTTTGCTGGACCCTCTCCAGCAGTTCCCTGTCCTCACTCTGGTTGCAGAGGACACCAGCATCACTCACTCTGGTTGCAGAGGACGCCGGTCCAGCCTGCCGGACAGTCACAGCCGGTCTCCTCCGCGTTGCATGTGGCTCCGTTCTGGCAGTCCTCACAGGTCAGGCTGCAGTCGGGGCCGAACGTGTGCTCCAGGCAGACTGCAAGGAGAGGCGCTGCCGGTGAAAAGCCTCCCCCAGGGCTGCCTCAGCATCTCGGAGAGTTTGGGCAGAGAAACCCCCCCATGTGCAGGCTGCGGCAAAGCTAAACGCATCTGTGCTGTAACACAGGTTCTGCGTACATAGAAAAGGTACTCGACAACTCCTGTTGCTCACCAAACGCCAATAAACCCAGCAGGCGTGTGAATTCTGAAAATTTCCAAGCAAATTATGCCATTTACCAGAGCTGCAAAATGCCCACCAAATTTTTCTGAAAGCGTGTGCTCTCCTCTTGCTTCCATCTCTTCCTCCTCTTCATAGTCATCATTAAAGAGCTGCGTAAATTCATCTCGCAGGATTGCAACATGGGGGATTGGGCGGATAACGGGGCGCTGACCATCCAGAGCCTCCACAGGGTCCTCTATGGCTAGGGAAGGAGTCACGGAGAGGACAACGTCAAAGTGGGAAAAGAGGCAAGATCTCAAAGAGATGAATAAAAGGGCAGAACTTCTGTAATGAGAAAGGGAAACCAAAAATACCTGTGCAGGGTCGGTGCATCCGGTTTGGCACAGTTTGCACCACTGATCTCTCTCTATATTGACACCTCTAAAATTTTGCAACTTGTTTTGTGTTCATTTTGCCCGGAACGGGCACGGGCCAGCTGAGTGACTTCACAGCCTACGGGAAGAGCTTTGGTCTGAACCTCAAGAGACAGCTCCGGCTCCTCAGGTAGCTCTGCTCTCCCTCACCCCATCACCTCTGCCCTGCTGTTTTTCTGACCAGAGCCGCTCGGCTTTTCTGGTAAGCTGGTTCTTTTCTGGGAAATTAAACAATCTAACAAAACCAGGCAATGCTTTCCAGCTTGGTTCTCCTTTTGGAAAGAGTATCTATGAGGTACAGCTCCCGGTTTCCTTCCCTTGCAGGGCAGGCAAGGGTTAAAGCCAGGCAATCCCACTGAGCACAGGCACATTTGGGACCCGGGGCAGGGGCTGCAGAGCCCATCAAACAACCGCCTGGAGGAGGCACGGGCATTTGCCGGAGTAGGGAGGCACTGAGTGCTGCTTTTTGGGGTCCAGACCTGAGAAAGCCTTTCCAGGACGCTGGGCAACGCTGCTGGGGGCCGTCGGGTGAAGCGAGGGGGGTGTTGGCTGCCCTGTGAGTGAGTAAGTTGGGTAATGGTGTGTTTGGTGGAGTGTAAAGACAATACCACTTAAAAAAAAGAAATCCATTATAAGGGAAAACTGCAGAGGCCGGTGACTGCGAAAAGGGTTCAGGCTCTTTGGTTAATGTGGAGCAGTCACTGCAGACTATTGTAAGTGAACTGCGCCAAAATCCCTTATGCCTCTTCGGAAAGGCTGAAACAGCACTGGCCCTGTTGGGGAAAGCTTTCTGCTGGTGGCGTGAGTCATTTCCACTGCTAAGAGTAGTTAAGTGCTGTGGAAAAGGTGGCGTGCGGGGCTGGCGAGCTGCAGGGCGAGCTGGCCCTGGCTGTGCCGGGGGAGCAGGGCGAGGGGCAGCCCAGACGCTGCACTTACAGACACAGCTCCTTCGGTCCTCATCCAGTTTGTACCCGATCTCGCAGCCGCACTGGAAAGAGCCGAGCTGGTTCTGGCACGTGTGTTCGCATCCACCGACGTTTGACGAGCACTCATCCACATCTGAAAAAACACGGGATGCTCCAGAGTAACGGGCGCAGGGGCTCTGCACGGGGCAGGGCCCGCCGACCAGCGAGGGGGCTGACGGCATCCTCGTCGGCAGTCAGTGATGCCATCCGACCCCAAAAATTCCACCCAAGCGATTCCGGCAGCCCTGGGTTTCAAAATGCCTCGTGCTAGGCTTCAGCTCACATCTGTCACTAACTGTGTAGAAACAGGCGGGTAAACTCGGGCTTTCACCTGGGAAATGTTATCAGAGCGCTTTGGTAGCGAGAACAACTCATAAGGAGGAAAAAAAGCCCCAAATTCTTTATGCTAAGAAGGCGACTCGTCAGAGAGCTGACAGGAAAATCGGTATAAGCTGGAGAAACTGTAAGAAATGCCTGGCTATTAGCAACCAGGTAGGACAATTTCTTGTTCTCTTTATTAAAAGCTTCTGTTAGTCACTGTCTCGGCTGTATTTTACATAGACACTTTTATTTGCCTATATCTCTTAGGTGGAATTGATGGGCAATGTTGGCCTCTGGGGTTGAACATAAAATGATTTCTATGAATTAATGGAGTCAGACCTGGACTGACTCACTCTGAGCTATCCTGATTTTAACCCAGTGTGTTCAAAAGCCCCTTTGCTACACCTCAGCTGTGCCGGATTAGCGTGTGGGTCAGAACAGCCGAGCTGCCTTAACAGTGAGCAAACTGAGGCGGCTGACAGAACACAGAAGAGCAGAATTAGAGGAACGCGTTCCGCGTGTGCGTCCTGCCGTGCCGCAAGGCTGAGGACCGCAGCGTTGCTGGTTCACTTGCAGGAGTCCAGCTGGATGCTTCTGCTTACCATCACACCCACAGCCGTCCGTGCTGAGCCTGTATCCAGCATAGCAGGCACACTCGTAGCCCCCAGGATAGTTGTAACAATCTTGCTGACAGCAGTGAGAACCATTGTCACATTCGTTGATATCTAAATAAAAACCAAAGGGCAGTGGATGTTAATACACATCTAGCTTTGCTGCGGTGACAGTACTTGTTAAAATTGCCGCGTGACTAGTTCTGGTCAGATTTTACTGCTCTGACTGCCAAATGCTGAGCTAGTATTCTTGCTTTCCTCCGAAATAAGCGACTTTATGTTAACAGATCATCCTTGGCAATGCGCTCCCCAGCCCGGGGAGGAATCCCGGATCCTTGAGGCCTGTGGGAAGTTAACTGTGATTTTCAGCTCGAGATTGTTCTTAAAGGTTTTGTGTGCTTACAAATAGGGGCTGATTCCGACTGTAACACTGATTCTTGCTTTTGGATTTGCCCTGTTACAAATACTGATGTCGACGGGTGAGAACTGCGTGGTTCCTTCAGACTGTCTCAGGGTGAAGTCTCTGAAGGATGGACTTAGGTAACCCGGAGAAAGCAGAGCTCCTGCAGCTTTCAATTTTAAGCCCTTTCTATTCTATGGGACTTCATTTGTGCACTATGAAGTGGAATTATCACAGTGCCCATGTAGTAGTGGGGCTTGCGAAGCATCCCCTACCGCCAGAGGAGTCTGGACCATGGAGGTCTCTTGCAGGAAAACACACAGCACTGCTGGGCTACAGAAAGTGTACCGGGCTTTGCGGTACGCAAAGGAATAATGGTCTTTCTGAGCAGGCTTCAGGTCCTGGCTTTTTTGCTCCCGTGTTGCGATGCTCCTACAGAGCCACAGAGGAAAGCAAACGTCCTGAGGGTTTGGGGTTCCCCTCCTCTGTGCTGCCCTTTGCACAAGCAACCACGGGTGCCGGCGGCAGCCCGCTGAGGGGGATCTGCTCCTAACAGACATCCTGGACAGACACGCTCCTTGAAAACAGCAGGAAGAAGGTGGTACTGAACAAAGAAGGAACAAATGCAAGAATTATTTCCTGAGTAATGAGAACTGCAACTCTGCACTGCATGGAAATACGTAAAGTACTGTTTCGCACTACTAAACACTGTTTCTTTTTGCTAACGATCTCCTATTTGCTGGTTTTATAGAAAGAGAAGGCGTTAGGTACAAGTCCCTCAATGCACTGTCTGAGGCACAGACCCTCCAACTACCCTGCAGGAAGGGCACCCGCACTTCTTACAGCTTTGGGCTGCCTGAGGGATGCAAACCCGCAGCCGGCCGTGCTGTGCCGGCCCCGGCCCCGGCGTGGGCACAGGAGGATACCACAGCCCGACACGGTGCAGGAAATGTCAGCCTGGGGAGCACCACGGTGGGTTTCTGACTAGGTTATTTGCTGCGAAGGGCTCGGAGTAATGCAATATAGAGTGTATGCCTCAACTTTATAGCATTTACAGAGCCTGAGGTGCATTTCAGCCTTACCTCTCCATTAACACATACTTTACAGAACCAGATGGGGCTGAACCACACTTGGCTTGCAGCCAGTGACTCATCCACATCACTCATTTACTCAAATAACACTGCCGCTTCCTTTGAGCTAACAGGCAAGACGGTACATTTGGAGCATCATCCCTTCTAGACGTAGGCTTACTGGTATCTGAGATGTGAGTCTCTCTATCTGCCAATGCCGCCTCCGACCAGTTTCAGCATGGAAAAACTAACTGGCTCTGAAGTCAGCATTTGTGGTCCAAATACATCTTGAGTGGAGGTTTGAGGATGTCTTCAAGTAGAGCAATATCTCATCTCCTTTTAATTTGCATCTGTTTCTAGCTTTTTCTAGTTCCAGTTTGCATCTGTTTGTAGTGCATGTACAGGCAGTAGCTAACGCACGGAGATCCGCAGCACTACTTGAGATGTGCTTGTGAAAACAAGACATGTACCTTTTCCCTTGCCTTACCAGTGCATGTCTTCTGGTCCTCTTCAAGCCGATAGCCAAAGTTACAGGTACAGACTGGGCCAGAGCTGGTGTGGTGGCATGTATGGGAACAGCCACCGTTGTTGGCTTCACAGCTGTTCACAATCTCCATTTCTATCCCTGGAAAAGGCACACCGGTTAGGATCCCGCACATCTGGCTGGCCCGTGCCCTCCCTCGGTGCTGCGCTTCCAGCCGGGCTCCTCGCACGCGCGTTTCTGTGCGCACAGCCCTGCTGAGGAGAAGAGCGATCCGCAGCGGGGAAAGGATGGAAATAGTTTTGCAGAGAGGCCGCTGCTGGGCTGGGAAGTGATGTATAAAAATAAAGCGATGGATCCCGGGCAACGCCCCATGTAGCCTCTGGGGGACAGACTTGCGGAGCAGACTCTGGACAATCCCTGAGATGAACCAGACTGCAGACAAAACTGCTCCCACCCCTGACGGGCTGCAGTATGTGCTGCCAACCAAAAGTTGGCTCAGTCTTCGTAAGTACAGAGGTGTTCCGATGCCAGCTAGGAATGGGAGCAGCAGAACACAGCTCACTGCGGAAACATCCACATGCCTACAGCTAGAAACGTTAGTTACTGACATGTCAAAAATGGTAGACGCAAACATCAATAGCAGCCATATATTTCTTAGCTTGGCAAAGTTTATGTAAACTTAAGTCTAGTTAATGAAGCTTTCTTGAACTAAAAGGAACTTGTACCATAGAGCTTTGACTCAGTCCTGAATGTCAGGAAAACAATTTCTGCCTTCAAGAACATTTTTGAGTTTTCAGTATGTTCAGACCCGAGAAGGCTGAAAGAAGGGAAGAAGGGGAGCTTGATGCTTCCCAATGGATCTGTGCATGTCAAAACCAAAAACTGTGCCACGGTGGAAGACTATATTCCAGATTTCACAACATGAATATAGTCCCTCTGTCTTTTTCCTTTTCTTATTCATGGAAGAACAACCAGGGGTTTGCATAAAAGAAATGCGCTAGAAGGGGCAGGGAGAAGCACTTTTCATACAAGAAGGCCACTTAATTCTATAGTTTGCACCAAAGTAGAGCTATTGTCAATGGTTATGGCAATGAGTCACAACAACCGGAGAAGCCATGTCAGAACACGAGTGGGACTTGTGCTTCCACTGTCCCTGCTGTCAAAAGTGACCCTCCAGGGCTGGCGTCTCTTACCAGCGGCTTACCTGGCAAAAGCAAGATTTGAGCAGCAATAAAACTATGTTTTTTTTCACCTGTGGGCCAGTTGGCTGAAGCCACAAAGGGTAATCTTCCCTGCTGCGTAGTCACAGTGGGAGGTGAGGAGGCAGCTAAGGCACAGACCTGGCTTCCAAACCCAACCCCCTGTGAGCCCTGCTGCCTATCCTGCATCTTCTCCCCAGCCGCTGAAGATAAATATGCAGTTGCACATGAAACTGAGCTATGGGATTTATTTTTTTTTTTCAGAATATGCGGTGTGAGATAACCCACGTTCATAGGGAGAAAGGTGTGTCCATGCTTAGGCTCTTAAATAGCATGTCATCAGCCTAGTTCCTCACATTGCTCTGTTTGATGCCTCTCAAGACCCATTTACGGTCTGCAAAGCCTTACCCTCACCCCCTGGGCAGGCTCCCAGCGGGAGCTGCAGCACTGCACAGGTGGAGCATCACGGCTTCCAGTAACACCAGCTGCCAGCACTGGGATTGCCACGGTGGCTTTCATCGGTAAGGGGGCTGCTCGTGCGGGATGCCGATAGCTCCGCTTTGGACTGTCCCTGCTGATGTGTATTAGCTGAACAAGGATGTACGGACAATCTGGCTCATTCTTGCATAATACTGTTTATTTCTTTTCTTGATGGGAGCAGATGTGATCACTTCGCTAGCTCAATTCCTTCTTCAGTTACACATCTGCAGCCGACTGAACTCATCCAGTGAAGTCCCCAAGAGCAGAACTTGGCCTATTTGGAGCCTAATGGCTCCAAACAAACTGCCTGAACCAGCAAAAGTAGCTTCATGGTAACTTTAAAGATCAGACAAAGTTTTTTATCTTGGTGGGAGAGTAAACAGCGCCAAACCTGCTTGTGAAATTCTTCAAAAAAGATTGCTGAAACTTGGCCCCACCGATCCCCAGAGGACAGAGCACAAACACTTGCCTGCAGAAGCAGTCCCGCCTGGGGTGGGCTCTGCATGCGGTACTCACGGTAGCATTGCTTGCCGTCTGCCCCCAGCTCATAGCCCAGGTTACAGGTACACTTAAAGGAGCCGCGAGTGTTGAGACACTGGTGTGCACACATGGCTAGTCCAGTCAGGCACTCATTCACGTCTGCAAGAGATGAGCAATCAATAAGCAAAGCGGGTTGAGCCATAAACAGTCTTTCAAAGGGACAATTGTTATTGCGTTCAAGTTTTTCACTGCTTTTTTGCACCCTGAATTCTTCACTGGGGTCCAGCCCGGCAAAGAAACAGAGTTGAGAGTTCAGAATTACTGTAAGGCTTCCTAGGAAATGGGATCACACGGAACTCGAGTGCTGTTCCAGATGACTCGAGCGGGGCTCTTGGACGGACGTCAACAGAACGCTTTCATGCCACCCCTCTGGAACCTTGTGCACCATGCCGTTAAGTTCACAAACGCTGATAGATCAAGAGCTACTTCACCCCATGCGACACGGTTGTTTTTCCCTGTGAAAGCTTTGCTGTAGGCAGCTTACCTTCACAGGCCCTGTTGTCGGGCGCCAGCCGGTAGCCGGGGTGGCACTCGCAGCGGGCTGTTCCGCGGTGGTTGTGGCAGCGGTGCATGCAGCCCCCGTTCCTGTCGGTGCAGGGGTTCCTCACTGCGGGTCAAAGCAGAAGAGGCAGGCTTATTTCACACTAATCCTGGCTCCTGTTGGCGTTATGCTTATGGGACAACAGAGCATCGAGCAGTTATGTCTGGGAAAAAGTCTGTGAAAGACCATTCTCCACCAGACAGAATATCTCTGCTACCGTTTACTGCTCCATCCAGGCAGGAGGATTTACACGGTGCGAGATCCTGCAAAAGGCAGGCACTAATCTGAGTAAAAGCTTTCCAGCAGAGGCTTGGCATGGGCATGTCCCTCCACAGAGATTCCAGAGCGAGTACAAGGCAAATTTGCTTCAATTGCTCCTATCTCCTATCAAAGGGTTTGCCAATCTCTGACCTGCTCCAGGACCGGGACAGACGCTACCAAACCCTGCCGACTGCTGCATTTTTAATACCCCAGTTGTCCCTTTTCCCGTAGCAACTTCACAGCTAAAGACTTCCCTCCTCCTCCTGCTAGAATGCCAGCTGCTATGAATGAGGAGATTAAACTTCTGCTCTATATCCCCTTCAGCTTCTCTCCCTCCTGCAGCCGGGAGCAGGTCAGCCAGAAAGCTGTCTGCAAGCAGAGGGAGAAGAACCCGTCCCGCTGCGGCACGCTGCTGTTCCTCCGCTTTCTCAGGACTGTGTGCCTTCACACAATTTCATTTTTGTTGGCTACACTCCTCCAGCTCTTCCTTGCCTTTCAGAATAAGCTGCGGAATAGGTCCGTGATGATACAACATGCGGAGTTTTTACTGGGGAGGAACCCCCCGCTCTGATCTATTTGACATCTGAGTGCGCAAGTGGATGCTGCCTATTCCCCGCAGCTCCCAGTTGCCCCTGGATAAACGGCCCACGCGAAGCTCTGCCTCCCCAGCTTCCCCTGGGTGCTCGAGGGGACTCACAGACGCAGCGTTTGCCGTCCTCCCGCAGCTGGTAATTGTGCCGGCACCGGCACTGATGCTGCAGCAGCGTCACCTGCACGCAGTCGTGTTCGCAGCCACCATTGTTCAGGGCACACGTGTTCACAGCTACGAGGCAAAGGGACAGCACGTTCACCACAAAAATAACAGCACCCGGAGGAGTCTCTCGCGCAGGAACAGGGCAAATCCCACGTACTTACACAGAGCACTGCTGATGAGGACTGAAAATTGGGGCGTGTTCAACCTGCGCTAAAGTGAGAAGTTGGTGGCAAATTTTGGAAGTGTGCTAAACGTGAGCTGTTGCTACAAAACTCAGCTCTGTACGCAGCGCAGGAGAGAGGTCACCCACCACAGTCCCAGAGAGGGACCTCGGGCAGAGCCCCTCGAGACGGGGGCCCCTGGCTTGAAAGGTAAGATGGGCTCAACCGTGTCAGGTAGCAGCTTAAAATCACTGTTTTCCACAGTAACAGCTCCCAGCAGCTCTCCCGGGAGGCGAGACCAGGACGTGGGGGTCTGGGCTGACCACCGGCACGCGTCCTCGCGACCATCAGCCCTCCGGAAGGGTGCCCGTGTCGGCAGGAAGGCTTCTCGCGCTGCGCTGTGCCTGACATTCCCAAAACTTTGTTCAAAGATGGTCACTGACGGTGCAATGCCACAGCTAGTCCAGCTTAATTACTGCTCAGAGATGCGCTCAGGTGTATTCAGGTTTTCTTGTAACAAAATGATATGGAAAACTAAGTTTCTAGCTCCATGCGATGCAGAAGACACCGATTACACAGGGGAGGGACCAACAGGTACCATCAGCTCTCCTGGGAACATTTAAGGAAAAATGTTTTGAGATGCATCCTGCACGTCCGCACTGCCATCGCATGTCACAGCCCCGCAGTGCGTTGGCTAGGAGATGTCTGCATGACAGTCAGGACACGTGTGCTCGTCCACACCACGAGTAACCGATGCTGTGACCGGCAAAGCCGCAGCACTCGGAGATGTGCTGGCGGGAACGGTGATTTCATCCGGAGTGCAGGCAGGACTGGGAATCGAGATTCCCGACTGCTGTTCCTGGCCGTGCCACAGCGTTTCTGTGTGGCCTTGCGCAAGGCGCTTTCCTGCCCAAAGGATTTCAAACAGTCGGAAAACAGAAGGTTTTGCCTAGGCTACGGCAGAAAACAGATCTTATGACCAAACATGTGGACTATCTTCTCTTTGCAAGCTTGCTATCATTAATCAGCCTTAAAATAGCCTTCTCCTCCCCCCTCTCTGCTCTTATAACCCAGGAGTTCTCTGCAGGATAAGCAACAAAAGCGCGATGTTTCACTGGAGATGTGTGCACCTTGCAACCAGCACCCGGGCAGTTTCCCTGCTTATTTTTCACTAGGCTGCAGCTACCCGGGACCACTGCCCTTCTTGTATCCAGGAAAAAACTGAGCTAGAAAACAAAGCAGGGAAAGACCTTCTGGAGGGGGCTTCACAAACTCTGGTAGATATGCCATCTTGGGGTAACGACATGCCTCCAAAGTGATGAAAGTCGCCTCTTAGACCATGGCATGTCTCCTGATTTAGCCTACCTACTCCTTAATTAGTGAGAATCTCCAGCAGAGACTTACGGGAATTGGGATATTGGCCTTTAAAGCCTGTTCTTCCTCTTGGGAGACAGGAATGTGCACGAAACCCATAACACGCTGCACATCAAAGCTGTGCATGTGCGACACGGCAAAAACCCAGCCACGGTCTGGGATGGAAACCCAGACCTGGTTTCCATAAGCAGAATGGTACGATGAGTTGTGGTCTCACACATTTTTGACCTATTTTTCAAACTCCAGAATAAACTAATGTGCTGACTCCAAGGAATCTTCTAAGAAAGCTAAAAATATCTCTAATGAAAAACATCTCTCCACAAACTAACACTTCAGGTAATCCCAGTGCCCTCAACAACCTCCAGAGTTTTGCTAAGCAGGCGAGCCTGGAAAGCATATGCCAGTAAAAGTCTCCACTTTTAACGAGGTCTCCGGGTCCCAGGGGCAGCGGGGTTTGTCAAACACCCGTGCCCAGGGCGCATAGGAGGAGGCGGGCTGCAGGCGGCTCGCCCGCGTCGGGTACCAACGCCTCGTCCGAGTACTCAAAAGAGTATTTTCTACAAAGTACTGAAAGTCATTTGATTAAGCCTCTCTTGTGTATTAGCGAAAAACAAATATTTGGCACAGGAGGAAAAGAAAAGGCAAAACTGTATGGGTTTGGGTCTTTTTTCTGAAAAAAATATGCCTTGACTCAGAGCTGAGGAGCTCTCTCACTTCAAACTTTTAAATACTAATTTCCCGTTGTATGCCTCTAATTAACTTAACGACATTTGGGGGAATAAAAGTCACTTAATAGGGTCAAAGTATTGCCATACACAACATACGGCTGGAGCGAGAACTATCAGTTTATGTTGCGCTGACATTGTTTCCTTTCATCCATTTGGAAGGGAACAACAGAAATACCCAACGTTCCTGAAAAGTTATGGGTCAGAGTTACAGTACTCAAGCTTTAGCAGAGATGGGTGGTCATTTTAAAATATTCTGATATATTAAAGTGTTTAATAACATATATTCAAAAATACCCATAAATAACATGCTTGTTCTTCTTGGAGTGGTTTGGTTTTTTTTAAGTAAAACAATGCTAACGCCTGCCAAAACATTCCTTCAAATGGGAAAAGTACTGAGCTAATACATAACAAGCCAACACATCTTACGTCTGTAATAACCTCCCAGGATGCAGTTATTCGTATGAATTTGCAGTCTAAATAACCGCCCGCCCTGCATACCTCTAAAAGACAACTTTTCAGAGTGGAAAAAGCTAAAGTCCTGGTTCTTCTTTATCATAGAAAATTCAAGCAGACAAATCCTGTAAGGTTGGATAGAGCAGACTTTCCAAAAGGATTATTTCTACATAGAAGAAGATCAACATGTGTCGCTGGGTTGCCCTGAGGCACAACACCCGTGTACGGATGGAATTTTGCAATGGCAAAACCCGTTCCTTGAAAGACAGAGAAAACTTCAGACACACATGGCAACGCTTGGCCAACCACTGCGGGCAGCTTGAGTAGGGTATGGACACAAACAAAAAGGACACGTGTTCCTCTTCCAGCGCATCCTCCTTGGCCAAGGGCTTTAGTGCAACCAAGTGCCAGAACAACTTACACAGATCTTAACTGATGCCATTTGCAGGCCACTAAGAACATAAAAGGTGAAGCAGTGAGAGCGCAGGCATCTTGCAGAGCATTTTCTTCCCTCTTGTGTTTTTTTTTAGCATGGTTTATTTGCTAGCAAGTGTACTCTTCAAGACTAATAACCCCATCTGAGCCTCTCCATTCTGTGATTGCACGTGATGATGAAGGGGCCAGGGTACGCTGTGGTCTCAGCCATCGCGGGTAAGTTCCAGACCACTACGGGTAATGGGAACCAGAAGTCCTTCTCTGCCAAGATACTTATGTACAGGCAACAAGTAGCCGCCATCACGGGCTATATGGCACTCGTATGCTATACGGCACTCGTGGCACACGCGCAATGAAAAGAGCAAATCAATTGTGTCCTGCGGTGTCCCACAGAGCCGCCCACGTGCACCGATGTTTTGCTAAGATACAAACTAATTCAATTTAAGAATCAGGAATAATAAGACAAAACAAATGAAACATGTTACAATTGTTTTGGGTGTCTTTCCATGAAAGCAAGGGCCTTCTAATTCTGGGTCTCCTTAGCTGGCTTCTCGTGGAGTAACAGCCAGTAGACCTCACGGCGGCCTTGTTTTAATTACTGCTCTTTTTTTTTTCTGTTTACAGAACCACTCTAAAAATATTTCCATTCCCAGATGCTTTTCCTAGCTTAACATTTCTGTGACAACGTTGCCAAATCCAGTGTCATCTTGTACATCACACAGATTTTTGTAATTAAAGCTCAGACAGATTTTCCACAGATGATATTTCATCGTCTGCAAGAGGGACGTTAGGTCCGTCCCCTCTGTCTGAAGCGAGTGCAGTGCTGCTGAAAGATGCTAGCTCCCACAGTCTCACCCTTCAGGCCCCAGGAAAAGGATAAAAAGGGACGGAAAGGACGTTGTTACTACTGGTTGCACGCGGGAAGTGGGTGTACGCAGTAGCAGCCTAACTTCTCCTCTTTCCCATCTGTATCACCTTTCCTTCAGACCCGAGGAACTTGCCCTCAGAAGCAGTGAGCCAATACTTTAAGAGTAACTGCAAGCAGCTGTAACTAGAACTGAGCATGACGTTCCCTTTTACAGCATCACACAAACCCATCGATTCTAAGAAACGTCTGAGAAATGCCCCACTGGGCAAAGAAAAGGTCAAATTTTCTAAAATGTGCAAGTTGCCTGTGTAGTGCATGCAGATTAAAAACCTCGAAGAACTACAGCCAGATGATTACCCTCTGTGCACGTAGTTCAAGCCCACACAAACCTCTACAGCACAGTCCTTCTGTTCACTATATAAATCGCTGCTATATTTGAGTTTTCTTCGTTTGAAGTACTCATAATATAAATAGGGATACATCGTGTAATCCCAAACTGATTTATTCTAACCTCAGACAATTTCCAGAAACATGTTGTGTGTTAATACAGACCATCTCTCTACTCCGCAGGCCAACAAAAGCAATTGGCTCAGATTAAATTCTTTGCCTTGGACTGGAGTTCATCCCTCCACTGAAACAGTGGAGAAGGACCTGAAGATGTCAGCTTCCTGCCTCCTGCCCATGTGGTTCTGATAAAGGAAGAGGTAATTTCAGGACGTCCAATGACTCTTTTGGTTCTGTTTCACTTTCAACAGAAATGTTTGCTCTTTTCCCCCTCCCTTCTGTATTAAAATCCTTGGTGACTTGCTATATTCGAACTACAAAGCCACAATAAAAAGAATCTTGCACAACTGAGCTGCAGATTACCCAAAGATGGTTGGACTCGATGATCCCAAGGGTCTCTTCCAACCTAGACAATTCTACGATTCTATGATTCTAAAGCATCAGAAGTGGTTGAGAGTTGCTGCGAGACCCAGAGCAGGACACAAGGAAGGCGGTTTTCAGCCCTTGTTTGTGCTGAAGTCACAGGGATCAGAGCGGGTCCAGGTCTGGAGAGCTGCCTCGGCATCCTTGGTTGCGTCGGAGCATCTCCGGGATGCAGCCCAGCACAGGCTCCTGACACCCCAGCTTTCTCACAGCCTCAAGCAGAGCTTGGCCACGGTGTAAGCTTTTATTCCGCTCCTGCACCACAGGGATCACTGTGAGGCTTTTGGAGCCCCTCGCTCCCACGACGGTTGATGGGGCAGAGAGCGCTACTGATGGAAGGGATCCCAAGGTGCGAGGGGACACCAGGAGGCTGCTGTCATTGACTGCCCTTGATTCTCCAGGCAATGTCCAAGATGAAATTTAAGAACAGCCTGTTGGCCTGTGCATAGAGCCAAGCTCTGCTTATGCTGTAAAAGGTACCAACATCCTCAAAGAAAAATGCTTTTAAAGGCAAAATATTTCTTCCAGTTCTACACAGCTCCTTACCTGGAACCGCAATACACTTCATAAGGCACTGCTTTTAAAGGTGCCTGAGTAACTTCTGAAAAATTCTGCTGATTTTTTTCCCTACTACATTGGGCCTTCCTTTATCACCTGCAATACAAAGCACAAAGGTGCGAAGAGCTACCAAGGGTACAAAGCCATCGAAAGAAAATAGCAAAAGATTTTATCAGTTTTCCAGTTCTTTGACGTCTTCGGGAATAAAATAGGCTTCGACTTTCCATCGCAAGCTTGGAGTAACAGTTCAGCCAGAGGGTGGGAAAGGACCGCTCGCCCTGAGCCACCCCCCAGGAGCTGAGCTACTGCGGGGGGAAGAGCCACCAGCCTCCGCAGGGCGATCCCGGAGCGCCCCGCTTCAGGCAGTGCGGCCGATTAACTGAAGCCTTTGTGGGTTTTGTGGGAATCGGAAAACATTTAAAGAATTAGATCTGCGGTTTTACAGACCTTAACTAGAAACTTCGTGGCAATAGTCTTTTCCTGTCTCTAAAACGTTTTCTGGCCTGCCTTGCTGCTGGCGGGGGCTGTCCACAGGTCCCTGCGGCCCCTCTGCGTGCTGGAGCAGCTCTAAGCTGCGAGAACCCCCCACAGCCCATCACCAGCAGCGGCTTCGCTGCCTCTGAGGGCAGAGCAGTTCTGGAGCAGAGGGGAACGGATGGGAGACTGTCTCTGGTTCTCCTTATTCCTATCACATTCCTTTTATTTAGTGGCAATTTGTTTCTGTTTTAGCAGCACTGAAGCTTACCTGCCCAGCAAAATTAGAGGACAGCCCCAACTTGAAGAGAAACACGGCTTTTATCGGTGTACCTAATCCCTCAGAACCATGCAGGGAAAAAAAATTATAATCTCGGTTGCAGTCAAGTGAGCACCTAAAGCTTCACAGAAGTGAAGAAATGTGGCTGAGGTCTTCCCGAGCAAAACCCACCATCTCTTGCTACCCGCGGCCTGAGAAAGCGGCTGCCGGGCACTGCACCGTCCCCGCTCCGCAGCCCCGCAACGGAGGTTACTTGCCCAGGCAAACACAGCTCCTCTGGCCCGCGCAGCGCCACGCCACAGCTCTGGCTTTGCCATACACCACAGCCCATCTCTTCGTAGGTACCAACGCAACAGCTATGAAGCAGCTCACTACCGGGGAGAAGCTCACCTATCTAACGGGACCCACAGAGAGAGGCTATCGCGTCTCCTTTCTGCACAGCCCCCGCTCAGCCTCCAAGGCACCGGCGAGCCCCTCTGCTCCGGGACCTGCCTGTCAGAGCGGCCACCGACCGAGGGGAGATCCCGTCCTCGTCCCCAGCGGTGCTGCCGGAAGGCGCAAATGGCAGCGTGATGGGCGTCCGTGCGGAGCGAGGGCGCCTGCGCCCCGCCGTCGCTGCCCGGTGACTCGTCGGGAATGTCGGCTTAATAAAATCCGTGTGATTTCCAAGATCAAGTCGGAGCAAAGCCTCTGACTTCGCAGTGTAAATATTTACGTAGCCCGAGCGCTTAAGTAAAAAGCCACTTGCATGTACTTGGGAAGACACCACAGAAAGCGAGCACGCGCTCAAGGGCCCGGGATTACTGCGACGTGACCCATGGAAAGCCGCCCGGCCGGACTGCACGCCACTGCTCGTGGGTTTGCCATCCGAGCGTCGGTGAAGGCAGCAAACGGGAGAGCACATCCCGCTGCCACGACCAAACCCGGGGCGAGAGCATCCCCTCGGCAGCCTCCCCGCTGCCCCTCGCCTGGGCTCTGCTGGGGGTGGGCTCATTCCGAGGGCACAAACAGCCCGTGTTTACAGGAACGAGAGCTGTGTGCACTCCAGCCCCGTCGCGCTGGGCTGCCGTGCCTGACTGCTGCCACACAGCCAGCGGACGCAGGGAGGAGAGCTGCTGGGCTCCGGCACCAAGAACCACCCACAGAATCCATAGGGGCAGAAAGCTGCGCACCGGGGAACGGGGCAGTCGGGCACGTGGGCACCCGTGGCACAAGGCAACCCCGTGTCCATGGGCACAGAAACCCTGTGGGCAGCCATAAACACCGGCAGAGGAGTAACCTCCAAATCTGTGCTCTGTTCTGAGCTTTAACAAGAAAAATAAGTTTAATTCCACCCCTCTCCACAACCGGCTTAATAGGTTAGTACAGAGCTATTACGCAGGCGCGCTATATATACACATATATGCACTTTTCTATCATGAAAGTGTAAAGAACAAAACCCACCAGTCCTGAAGCGAGAAAGCCAGGTTTTCAGGTCTGCTTTGTTGTTATTTTAGAAACAGTTTTGGACAAGTATGTAGGGAGAGTTTTCACTCGCCCTGCCTGGTCTGCATCCACTTTCCCGCGCACTGCGAGGGTCGCAGGGGCACCGGCGCCGCTGAACTGACCGCAGCTCCTGCCAGCCCCGCGCCCCAGAGCTTCCAGGGACCGCCCCAGTTCCTCCCCTCGTGGATCAGGTTTCGTGAATAGAGACCCCTGAATTTTGGCAGATGGATTCCGACACTGTGCACATGATGGCGAATACTTGCTCAGAAGCGTAACGCAAAGCAGGTTTGCAGCGCTCGGCGCAGGCAGCGCGGAGCAGGGCAGCCCTGCCTGCCCGCATCCCCGCAGAAATGCTCTGCGCGGCACAGCCACGCCAGCAGGTAAGCCTGAAGAACGAAAGCAAAGGATGGAAATGGCTTTTAAAGAAGAGATTCCTCCCTATAGTGATCCCTTCGACACTTTCTCTGGAAATTGTTTCACCTTCTGGGGCTGACCCCGCTGAGAACACCAGAGCTCCCAGTGCCTGGCTCGTGCCTTATTCTACGAGGCAGAGGCAGCAGAGTCACTCTATACCACAAAAAAGAGAACTACATATTATAAAGCCAATTATTAGATGACAGACCGCATGCACGCTTACATGCAAACAGCAGCAATGCACAGCAAGTTCACACGCCCGGTGCGAGAGCAGAGGGCTGGGAACGATGGGCTTTTTTCTTCATTTGTGATCCTTTCGCTTCTGGATTATTTTCCAGCAAAATGCAGGGCGCTTACACCTCAAGCGTACGTCTCACCGCTCTTGTTAGAGTATCGTCACATAGTGGGGCAGTTGCGGAAGGATGTGCAGTCTGTGCTGCTCTGGGCACGGTGGGTACCGCTTCCTTAGATGGCTTTTTTCTGCTCCCATCACCATTCCCAGCTGGCACACACAGGCTCACACAGTCATTTTTAGCAAACTTTGGAACGTGACTATACTCTGAGAAAAACCAGCAAATGGCCTTTGTAATACCACCGCCCAGGAATTCTTTCCACTTGTATGAAAATATCCCTCAAAAAAACCAGAAAAAATGTGTCAAATAAAGCTGTGAGGGAGAAGGGGTTTAACAACAGCAGCAGCAGATGCTGGAAGGCAGACTCCCAGCTCCACCCCGCTGTCTCTGAGCCTCTACTTTGGGGCCAGCAAACAACAATATTTCAAGAAACTGGCCCAGAAATCAGCTGCAAGCCAGACCTGGCATCTGAAATGTAATGTCTGGACACGCACCATCCAAGCAGACGCATGACCACCGTCCCAGGGAAGTGGGGTTTGACATTATTATGGCCACAGTTCCACACACAGCCACGCTTCTTTTCACCTGTTTGTCATACCTGGTGCCTACCGTGCGGACTAGGGAAATTAGCTGAGGTAAAAACGACTGTCTTGAACCTTTTCATAATCTAGTTTATGTATTTGTTCTGAAAATGCTGTATCTGATACACCCTGTATCAAAAGCAGAAGCACCAAAGCATTGGAAGTTACTTCTCCTGAACCAGAATAAACTGATGAACTACAAAGAAATCAAAATCGTACGTGTCCGCACTGAAGAACAGCAAATTTTCTGAACCCAGTAACAGAAACACGTTAGGGAAGACTACTGAGATCCCGAGAAACAAAGGAACACGTAATCCATCACCATCATCTCAAATTCCCTGCACAGAGGATGGCTGTGAGCGGGTACGCCAACGTAAGCGTTTTCTGCACAATGCCACACGTTTACAGGTAGGAAAAGGGCTACAAAGAATTAGAGATTCTCAAGAACCTGAAAACTATGACTTACCAAGGCAGGTCCTGCCATCTGTGTGCAGGCGAAAGCCGGGCTTGCACTCACAGTAATAAGATCCGAGAGTGTTCACACATCTGTGCTGGCAGCCCCCGTTGTGGACCTGGCACTCATCAACATCTGCAAAAGAAAAGGGAAGAGGGGAAAAATGCTCAGAGAAGTGGGCATGATGGTATCGGAGGGCAGGATTGTTGACTGCCTCCAGACCAGAGGAATGAATGCAGGAGGAACAAGACTGCCATTTATTATGTTCAATCAGTCAAGCTATTTAAGAGATTTCAAGGACAAGCATGCAATCAGGGAGGGGGGAAAAAGGCATCCTGTTTGTCAATCAGCATAAACCACCCTTCATCTCCTTCACCTCGCAATGGTCACTTTTCCCATTTGATCAGAGATTTATTAAAATTTGACACTTCCTTGCTCCTTATGTGTTGAAAACAGACTGGGCCAGTCCATTTGCTACTTAGATGAATGGTGAGAGCAAACACCAAACATCGCAGGCCGGGGCGAGGGGGAACGACACGAGGCAGCCAAGTTCAGCGCCGCGGTGCCACCGCAGCAGAGGTTCTCGCCCTGCTGGGTTAACCTCGTCCTTCTGCAGCACAGAAGCTGGTGTCCCCGAGCTCAGCCACGTGCCAAAGCTGAGGGGCTTTACTGTCATGTCTCTCATCTCAGTATTTTCACAAAGCATTTCACACATTTCACACCATTTACACCTGGAACTCCCTTGACCTGCTGCTGAAACGCAGCAAAAGTTGGGGTACCTGGTGATATGCTGTGCTCAAATTGCTATGCATCACTGGAGATGTGAAAGAAGACACAATAATAACTGGAGAAAGTTATCCCGATGGACCAATTGTACGATTAGCAAGGATTTGTTCATAGTTATATGATACTTAAGAACATGGTGAAGTCCAGCTTGACCCCAAAACACAAAAGGCGGACTAGAAACGGCGACAGTCTGCCCGCAGGTCCCCAGCCCTCTCCTCCCGGCTCCACGGCCGGAGCTCCCGGGAGAGCCGAGGCGGCTGCTGCTGCTGCAAGAAATCCACTTGGCCAACACCACTGTGGATGTCCATTTCTGCGGGCAGAACGACCAGCCCTCCAACAAAAGGCAGTGTCTGAGCCACAATAATCCTCTGCCAAGTGCTGAGCAATCTTTCGAGAGCTGAAATGGGAGCTACCCCATGAGTTATTGGTAAAAAATATCCTGTGTCATTTTATTATCGAAGCTTCAAAACCAGGGAGGCAGACGGCAGTGTGTTACAGAAAGGGAGATTCGTTCCTCTTTCACAGACCTTAAATTGCCTTTAAGCGCTGGGAATAACTTCCAGAACTGAGAAGAAATGTGAAAACGTTTGGAGCGCCCAGCGACATGGTGCTAACTAAGATGCGTATCAGAAGCTTGTCAAAGGCAATTTCAAGTTTCTGAGACATAAGACTCCTTCATATGGCTATAATTAGAAATAATAGAGACGTTTGTGGCTATAGCTGCACAGTTCCTTAACTCCTGCCATTTGTGTGTGTACACGTATACACGTACACCACCTTTCAGCCCGGAAAGGACGAGAGATCTCTAGTCGGGTGGAGGAACCGCATTCACAGCAACAGCAAAAAAAGCCAACCAGCAATTCCTTGTTTCCACGGAGAGAAAACTTCAGGAGCTTTGGGTCTATCAGCGTTTCTGCGCGCTTTTTGCCCTTTGTGAAGACAACTTCAGCACCCACAACTATTTCCCACTGGCGCAGCGCGGCGGCTCACGCCAGCAGCAGGACGATACAGAGCCACGCTGAGCGATGAACCAGCGCCGCCTCATCAATGGCTGCTACTAATGAGATAAAGAAACCTTTCCTCCATGAATCACGGCAGGGGGGTGCTTCCGCCCGTGTC